CATTGTAATCACCATTGTATTTGAAAGATGAAAACAAGGAAAAGGAATTCAGCTTCCCTTCCTCTGAGTCCTCCTCATACAAAACTCAAACCACAGGGGTGGCAATGGGAGGGGAGTGAGGAAGGGAAAAACAAACACTGAAGTGGTTTCTACAACCAAACCCTCCATAATTTCAAAGCAGAATATATGCACACCACTAACATGCTGCAGGATGACCACATGAAAGCACAGCTTCAGAGAAGATAATGCGTTACCACCAATGCCTTGCACACTGCCATTTGCTTGAGGACACCCTTAAAAAACTGAATATAAGAATTCAAGTATTTGGAGAATCCAAACCTAAAATTACACAAGAGTGGATGTGAAAAGAATGAAGTTTTTCACAGTTAGCATGTCTTCACCTACATAACAAAATTAAACACAAAAAAACTAAAGCAAGTGATGAAGGAAGACCTGTAATTCAGAACAAGAAGAGACAGTTTAACAGTTACTTTTTTTCCACTTACAGAGCTTTCTGGAAAAAATTAATTCAAGTTCTCAATAAGCATTTTATTGAATGGGACAGGGGGGAGTCTCAATCTCAATTACATCCCAGATTAAGAAAGAATCGGGAGGAAGTTGACAAGTAGTTGTTTCAACATCCTATTTTGTATTTAATTAAAGATGCCCTCTTCTCCAGCTGTATCCAACTGCAGAATTTCTAGTTCAACTGTAGAACTACCCGAACTGTAAAGTTCAAGAAATTGATACAGCAAACATGAATTGCTATCTGAGGTGCTTCTACTTGAGGAAAAGAAAACCCTCTTTTTTTCAAAGGAAAAGAAGAAACACTGAAAGCCTTGAAATCCAGGCATCCTTCCCAGTTTAATTTGTTGGTATTCAACATCTACCATCAAGCAAAGAGGATCCAAACTCATCCACTCCAGTCTGCTGCTACACAGTCACCTACACCTCCCTGTTGCAATAACTGCACTCTACAGCCAGCACTGCTCTGCCAGGAAGCCCTCACAGCTTACACAACCTACTACACAGATTGCAAACAAGGTTTCACACACTGTTCAAAAGGAAAGTTAATTTCACAGGGCAGTGTCTCTGCAATTAAATCCACAGCATTTTTTCCCCCCATTTTGAGCTGAGCTACATGTNTACACACTTGGATAAAGCTCACCAGTTTTACATGAAAAGCCCAGACAAGTCAAGTAGCTACAGACCATAAAATCATCTGGGATCTTAAGCCCTATGAGAATCATTGTCAAGTTCAGTTATAACCTGTCCTGCCTTTCTTATAGACAGATATTAGAAGCTTTATACAGTATTTGCCTCCCTCTGAAAGAACGGTATAATCTATTATCTTTCTTCCATTTTAGGAAACTAAACTGTTCTCACTTGCACAAAAACCCATCATAGCACACTAACAAACTAAAACCCAAGCTTGAGTCTCTGCACCTCCCCATCAGCAGTACAAGCTCCTAATGTTTGCTCTCCCCAAGGCCCTTTAAAGTCACTCATGGCACAAAGGTTGTCCTCAGGCAATGCTGCTACACACATTTTGGTGAAAGACTCAGCTCTTCTTCCAAGAGTACTTCTGATTTCACCTGGTACAGCGTTTCAATTAATTTTTAAAAGTTAAAACGTAATTTGCTACATTGTTTTGCTAGTTATTAAGCATAATACCCAGTTTTAAAAATAAAGATTTTCAAGCACTTCAAATTAAAAAAACCATCTGGGAAGGGATGGAAAATGAACATCAGTTTTGCAACACCGCAGTGTTAATATGAACTATGTAATTATAGATAGGCCTTTTAACTGATTTTAACAAAGTCACTCTTGAAACAGAAAAATTTAGAGACCTCCTACGTTACTTTCACACAACAGATGTGCAGTTCATCTATTTAGGTTTAGAAGGATGAAAGAGCCATACAACTATGCCTGAAATGACAAAATCCAACTCAAAACTGATTGTCAGATAGTAACGTAACGCCCAGTGGAAAATACAGATTTCTGACAAGGTTACAAAGCTGTCTTTAAGCTGAAGTCAACTACTTATCCCACAAATGTATACTCTAAAAATAGTTTCACACCTCCCTGAAAATACTACTGCTATTTAAGCAAGTTCCTGCTCAAACAATGGACACAGCAAGAGACAAGCACTAGATGCTACACATGATTAAGAAATTTAAAAGAATGCTATACTGATTATAACAGTATAAAATAAAGTTGTGCTGGTCTGGGATGGGTTTTTTGTTTGGTTGGGGTTTTTTTACATGTTTGGAGTTTAAGTCTACTTACAGACTTTTTGCTCTGATGCAATACATGTTAAGGAACTTATTTTTTTTTTTTTTAAGTTTTGAAAACAGCAGTCGATTATTTTTAACATAAGAACTTCAACATAGTAAGCAGCATCTGTATAACACTTCACAAACAAGAGTAAATAAAGCTTAAGATGATTGAAAAGGTTTATCACTTTCTACAAAATATTCATTTCATTAACCTATTTTATTGGAGTACTTTGAAGAGGTTTAAATTATTCAGAGACCTAACTATTAGGAAAAGGAATAGTCTAAATGTTTGACTGGAAATGGAGATCCAGCTGAACACTTCAGCTGGTCCTACTCAAGTCCTCAAAGCTCTGCAAGAAGCTCTAAGTCCTTGACTATTATTTCTTGGAGCAAAAACCTACTGCTCATGTGTAATTCTAACTCATGAAAAAAAACCATTCCAGGCAAAAGCCCACTATCATTAGTAAGTGTTTCACAAAACAAAAAGGTGTAACTGGGTACAGGTTCCTGTGCTCTAGATACCACACTTAATACCTGCTATCCCTCCTCCTGCAAAAGCTGCTTTCAAATAGACTAAGAGAGCTCACACATTTTCATTAACTAGAGGACCAGGAAGCTTAAAGTTCTATTTCCAAGAAATATGATCATGACAGTAGGAAAGATCCAAAAATACATGACACTATCTTAAGTGAGTCTGAATGAATATTATAGCTTAAGCAAAACTGCCTTTGCTCCCCACAAAAGGCTCTTTATCTGCTAAGGAAACCACATTCCTGGAGGCATTTAAAAGGCTACAGTGGACCAAATACTAGAAAAACACATATTGTGGGAAGTAATCAGGCACTAACAGAGAATGAGACAGGATGATTTAAGACATCTTTCCTCACCCATGATTCCCCCAACTGGTTTTTACAGATTGACAGCACAAACTTTGCTGTACATTATTTTTTATTTAATTTAAGGATATGGGAGGTTTAATCATACTACACAGCAGATGCCTATTGCTCAACTTCAGAGAAGCAGATTTAACAAAGAGTTCAAGTCAAAATACTTGGAAATTTCTTAAGACATCTGTCACCCAGAGGCAGGTGCAGAGCTCAGTAATTTCTGAGCTGTTTCACAATCACAGTGGTGCTGGGACTGTCACTGGCCACCACTGAAGTTTGCTCAACAAGTCTCTCCCTTTTGTAAATGCCACAAGAATAGACATCTCAAGATGTCAAGAACCTACCTGTTCCTCTCCAAAGAGAATTTCTTCCTGATCTTAGCAATTCTCTGGCTTCTTAACTGATTTCCAATGAACAAATAAGATAGCTTGACCAACCTCTAGCAAATTGCAGCTGACTTGCACTTCATTATTCAAAATCCTGGAGGCATAGCAGTAGTTTACTTTCACTCTGCTGAAGCTTAGAAAACCTACAAGTATCTTATTGCATTCCTTTCCATTCAGACATCTGTCCTACAAGACATAAGGTTACCCTTAAAGAAAAAAAACCACACTTTGGAAATATTGAAGTCTTTAGCCTCTTACATGTAGGGGTACACTGTACAGGCAAACAAACATTTTTCTTGAGGTCCATTGCTAACAGTTTCTTTTCAGCTATAAATTATGTTTATGCCTAGAAGTGGATTTAAACCACTGATTTATTTAGCTGGACAATTTTGATATAATTTTTGATACAATATCTTGATATTTAAAATACAAATGATGTTACTGCTTGCTTTCTCGCTTTATGATCACTTACAGAAATTATTACCATGGGAAGAAAAAAAGTCCCAGAACTGTTTTTCAAAGCAAAAGGTAAGCCAGAATTAGTTCTATTTTTCACATGTTAAGTTAAAGGTTCCCCTGGGAATAGGTATTAAAACAGGTATTAAAGTTTCAAACAAGAACTAAAATTCTGCCCCTGGCTGAACTGCTTCCTTCATAGTTGTTCTTTTTGGTCCTTAAGCTAATACAAAGGGAAACTACCAGAGTTACATATTTATATTTGCTACCATTTTATTGATCCCAATCAAACCCAGCCCAATCCTTCTCCACATATTACTCATCTGTATTGCATTTTCCACAAACCATATTCCAAAAGCCAAGGGCATCAAGGGTGCCCTGCAGCAGAAGATACCCCCACATACAGTGCAAGGACATCTACCATCTATTTTATCAACACAGCACTGAATTTCAACGTGTCATTCACAGGTAGGGAAAAAAAAAAAAAAGAAATCAGACCTACATTCTGACCAAGAGATGCTGTAGTACACCTTGCAAGAGTACCACAAGAGCTTAAGGGATTAAAACCTGCAATCGCATTAAAGATCTTCCCCAAATCACACTACACTGGCAGGGCAGAGAACAGCCTTTGCTGACTCCACTGTATCCACAAGCAGAAATTACATCTACCCCAAATAACCTGTTTGTTCCCATTTTGACAGGAGGTTACAAGCTTTACATAAGCATCTCAAGCTATTTAAAGAAACATGGTTACTATTTACAGCACACAATCTGAATGAACTTCATGAGCCAGTACTTAACCTGCTTTAGCCAGTGCAGGCCTGACTCACAGGACACTCTGATTGCTTTGTAAGGGACTCTGTACCACTTATCTAGCACGTGCTAAAACAGCAGCCTGGGAGAAAGCCCAACATGAGAGAGCAGCTACTTCATTACATTACTCACATGCAGGAAAACTGTCTTTGCCATGTCCATTCTTGGATTCTACTTACAGGAGTAACACTGATTGTGCAGCTCAGGAACATTAATCCACTTTGCTGTAGCATAATCAAAATGAACAAATTTACTGTAACTATGCCTAACAGGGCATAACTCAAAATCTTCTGGACAACAAGAATTCTAGGAATCCAAGGAGAATGCTTTAGAGCCTATTGTACTTAAACTTAGTGAGGTCATGGCATGGCTAATTCATAAACCTGTCCACATACTGACCATTACAGTAACCTCAAGGGGCAAAAAAACCTCAAATCAATGCCTGATAGTTCTCAGATTGCAATCATGCATTCCGTTACTCTGGTTTAGATACTTATATGAAATAATTAGTATAACATCTATTCTCATTGGCTTCTGCAAACTGGCCCATGCAAAGGAAAACTCAAGTAAGTGGATGCAGAGGTTGGAGAAGAGAGATCAGGAGTTACACCAAGAAAGTCTCTGCAGGAAAAGCAGCACTCATCTGACCCAAGTTCAGTCACAGCACTGCTGATGTGTTCTGTCCTTGATTAAGTACTGCCTCCTCATCAAACCCTTCAGGGAAACATATTCAGCCCAAACAATCCCAACATTTTAAAACTGCCGTGGAAATCACTATCAACTAGTTCCTATGTTTATTCTCACATGTAAGTGATGCTTATTTTGCTGTTTTGGTTGAAGTTGACATCTTCCACTTACATGTTCACACTCACTCCTTTAAGAAAATCTCCTTAATATACAGAGACATCATTGCGACCTGCAGCATAAAGTCAATAATCATAAAGCAGAGCCAATTTGCGTTCAATTTACTTGAATAATCAAAGTTATACACGTGTTTTGCCTATTCAAGACCTTAAACTTCAAGAAAGACAATAAATCAAGCATTCAGGTATTTGCAGGTGACGATGACCTGTTTAGAAACATTAAACTCTAGTGTAACACTGTGAAGGTCCAAGACGTGGGGTTAAAAAGAGCAAACTATCAACAGAAAAGAGCTCTATCAGTACCTGTCAGAGTCTGAACCACCAATGCACACTCTGAAGCCCTCAAGATGCACTGTGGCAGCAGCCAGGCCATGCTGGAGGAAGTATCACATTGCACGTTCATTGTTCCTGCATCCCTCAAAGCAGCTGTTCTGGTCGGGCAGGGTGCCAGCTACAGCTTCGGCCTGACCTGGTGTGGCACTCAGGATCTGCCTCAGTACCAAGAAAATCCACTACTATAAAATCCAGATGACTTTAAACTATTTCTAAGAAGAGAAGCTCCCCCGGGCTAGGAAATCACAACTTCAGTCCCTGAGTTCCTTCACTGTTTAGAGACCCTTAAAACTTATCACTGTGCTGTCTTACCTAGTCTAATGTTAATTAATGCATGAGATGCCATAATATGGAATAGTTGAAACTATTACTTATGTGGTTAAAGCCAGGTATTTAGTATTAACTATTTAAACAGACCAAAGACCACTTCAGATAACACATTACTGTAGTTTGGGATTTTTAAGTACGATATCAGGATTATTACTTTTTGGAACCCCATGCCACCACATTGGGGGTGGAGCAGCACAAGAATGTTAAACACCAGGAAGGCTTCAAACTACAGTGTGTTGTCTGATCTGAAACAGAATTAAATCTCACTGTCACAGAAGGACTTGCTTACACACTAAAAAACACGTGCAACCTCTTGGCTGTTCTTTACTTGTCGCACCTCAGGATCAACTGACATAATTCATGAAGCAGAACACTGGAAAAAGCTCAGCAGTTTCCACTTCAGTAAAGAAACATTTCTGTCCTTGTACTGCAGTTACCAGTCTAAACACCACCTTTGCTCATTCTGTGGCAGCCTCTAAGTTGGAGCATATTAGCAGGGGAGCACAAGCCCAGAGAGGTTATTTGCCACACAATCATCTTCAAATTCCAGGGTGATGGATTTGCCTGCACTCCTCACTGAAACAGCTTATTTGGGTGTTTTAAAACCCATACAGCTCTTCCTGCTCACATAACCAAATAGAGAAAAGTAATTTTGAGCCCTGAGAGGCTGAAAACAGCTATCATATTTTGTTATCTTTTCCTACAGTATTTTCTTTGTTTTTACAGCTGTCTTCATGTTCTAGAAGGTCTGATGTTTCACAAGTTTGTATTTTCGGCTTCTAGTCCAGAAAAAGATCCTTCCAGAATTTCGCACTATGTGAGAGCTAAGCAGTGGTGTACAGCAGTCTGCCTGATCATTTCATTCTATTTCTACCTACATGAATCACTCTCTTTACTGGATATTTGACACAAGAACTGAAGATATGGCATATTCCTTCCCAAGAGGGCATGAAAACCTAAAACAGAGGGGGAATGAAGTGTGAAAGTCTGCGGAAGAATAAAACAAAATGAAAGTACAAAGAAATAAACAGTTTATGGTGTTAAGAGCTACCTGATTTCTTTCCTCCTTTTCAATAAAGGCACAAATTAGAATATTAAAGAGGAAGGAACAAGCCATGAACAAGCACAGAAATAAAGGATAGGTAGGGATAGATTAATAATCTGAATTTTCTCACCTATAAATTCTAAGCTTAAAAAGCAATGACAATGGAAACTTTGCTTTCAGAATCAGACTTTTGATTTTCTAGCAATAAAATTTAGCAAATAAGTAGGGACTGAAGCAGATCACCAAGTTCAGAACTCAACTAGCAAAAAAACCTGTTCAATAATGCAAAAAAATCCATAACAAACAATAACCAACACCAAAACAGAAACAAGAAAATAAAAAACATCAAACCAAAAAACACCTTTCATCCCCTTCTCCCTCTAAAGCTTCATCCAACCACAGCTATTCAAGATCTTCATTTAGATACAACAGCCCTTGCTTCAGGTTAAAGTAAATAAATCATTAATTCTGATAAATATTGATTTGAGAGAATTCCTTACTGAAAAGCCTTAAGCAACTTTGGCAGGTGTTTCAGCATCAACCTCTCAGGACTCCAGAGCACCAGCAGCAATATCTGCAGCCCCAAAACTTTGCTCTCCATGCAGTTGTGGCTCCAGTATATATGACTGCAGTATAAAGAATTCTCCCTTCCCAGCACCTTCAGATCTATCATCAGGCATAGCTGACCCATGTTAAGTTCTCCACAAGCAATCTTATCTAACTGCTGACCTGGTTTCGAGCAACTACTCGATAAGTTGAGCTTTTTAGGAAGATTTGAGAACATCAAAATGTTTTCAGTAAAGCTTAGAACAAAAATCCTTAAAAGCGCTTGTTTCCAACAGAAGTCTTTCATAAACTGACTTAGAAGTGAATTTGAAATCACAGAAAAAGTATTTTTGGAAACAATAAGGAGCCATCAAGATACATGAAAGAAAGGTCTTGCTGAACTTCCCCTAATCTTAGTCCTGATCTTCACTGAGCTGCATGCAGATATAGGACACATCCACTTCTTGTGTGACACTTCAGAACAAGCCTTCTGTAGTATTAGTTCATAATATTTTGCACAGAAGTAATTTTGTTTAACACCACAATGTAAGTTTCAAAGCATATACATCTACCAGGATTTGAGGCATGGGGAGAAGGTAAGATATGAAGACTTCTAACAATGTATATGGGTAAGCAAATTGTCATACTGAAAAACCCCAATATTTCTTGTAAGCTTAATACAATTTTTACTTCAAATGCTTTCAGAACTTGCCGAGTTTTTAAACAGATGTTTCCATTAAAGTTTAGCATGTTTGGAAACTGATGTATCTCCAAACTATACTTTGTGCCTTTGATTAAATACACAGCAGTATCTCAATACAAAGGTTCTACTGAAATGGCTGGAAAAAACATCCATCAGGCCTTGACACTGTAAAAGAACTTTGTTGCATAAACTACTCAGTTTATCATGAAAACATCATTTCAAAATAGGCCTTACAGGAAAAAGTAGTCAAGACTGGCTGAACATTAGTCTAATGGTAAAATTCTGCAGCAAATCTAAACAGCCAAAAAGCTTCCTATAGACATGGGCTGTTATCGGGTTCTCTCTACATATACCCACGCCATATGGATTACTTAGAAGGTGTAAAATCTGAGCAAATGAAACTGTTCTGCCACTCTGAAATACTGCAAACACCTTCAGAGCCCAAAGAATGCAAGACTAGCAAAAAAAAAAAAAAAAAGGGCAGGTTCTGAATTTTTACATAAAGAAACCTGCATCAGACCACACAGAAAGTTGAAAGGCAAATCCAATAATACTTCTGGTCTAGATAAGCAAACTAATCCCAACAGTGATTAACACAGAGAAACAGGTAAAATCTGATTAGCTATCTAGTAAACTTGCATCTTAACCAAAACTCTGAACACTGTCTACTCATAGTTAGAACAGAGCTGGTTACCAACCTTGTCAATAAGCAAATAGATTGTTCTGTATGGCTTGTCAACCCATTACCTACCCCCAGAGTTTCACCAAAAAAGTATTTACATTTAAAGAAAAAGTCCTTTAAGCTATAAGGAAGTTGAACTCACTAAAGTACAAGAGAGGGACAGATGCCATCATACAGACTTTCAGCTAAGAGGATACAAATTAGTTAACATCCGACAGTTCAGCTCCAATACCTTACCAGTATTTTTCCCACACATTTCTATGTGAAGTCTACTACTAATACCAGAGTACCACAAACTGGACATTTTAGCCAGCATCCCATTCTAGTCAGCTTTTCCTTTGCACAGTGCAGGGACACTGGTGCACAACTATGTCCTTTCATTTTTGTTGCTACTTCTGCTAAGAGTAGTGAGGAGGAGGTAGTTTGCAGATCTACTCAAACCTTCCAGGTCTGGTTATCTGTTGAAGGCAGTAGGATTATATTCACAAGTATAAGATTGAATTTTACATGTTATACCGTAGCACTCAACTCCGTGGACACAGAAGCTTCAAAAAATGAGCTGTATATATGCATTTGTATTATGTGCAAACTTATAGCCATAAACTAAGTTTACTAGTTTTTGTATTAGCACTTTTACCCTCATGAGTGAAGCAGAATTTTGAATAACTGGGAGTAAAACACCTCTCCGTTGAGCTGAAGCAGTTGCCATATTAGAACACTATTTCCAACTTGCTTATTAGCAGTTTCTTTAGTTAATCCATTTATAGGGGCTTGCTTGCTCTTATTTAGCCTTATGGAATTACTCAAACTGTAAGGGGAGGCTTAATCAAACAGATTTGAACTAAGATTACTGAGAACTCATTGCATCTGGGAACACAGTGACATTAAGTTTTTTGCTACCATGTTCACTCCCTTCCTCAGGGCTTCCTTCATTTTCAAAAAAATCAAGCCATTTTTCTTTGGCCTCTGCTTCAAGCATCTTTTCAGAGCTCTCTCCACTCGATATCAAGTAGATTGGACTTCGAGAACTGGGTTTTGCAAGCAACATATAAGTTGCTAGAGGGTATGGCACCCTATAGCAGCCTGCTATCCTGCTGAAGGTGATATCCACCAGCACAAGGACAGAAGCAAATCTGCAACAACTACAAATTAGCACAGTTTATCTAGAAACAGCCTTCCTGCAAGAGTTCCCTTCCCACACTGAGGAAATAAGATCTCACCCGTGTCATTTTAAAAAAGTCTAACGATGGCCTGTTCCATCGTACATCCTCCTCCCGTCTGCGCTTCAGCCGGCTTTTCTTTTCGTTCAGGACGCAAGGCTGAGAGCGGCACCTCAGCAGGCCCTGCCGCCGGCTGAGCTCGGGTGTGGAGGTGGGAGTGCTGTTGGCTGAAGGCAAGAGATTTCCTGTCTCGGTGATGTGCTCCTGGGAGAGGGAGAGGCGGCGCCTTGGGTTAAAGTCACAAGGGCCTCCGGAATTCCAGCGGGTACTCGAGCTCGTGCTGCCCTCGCTGCTGTCCACAAACCCGCTGCTGGCAGAGGAAGGTCTGGGTACTGGTGATGTGTTGAAGCTGGTGATAGTGAAAACGTTGTTTAGGGACAGTATGTTTTGTGGCAGACTGATGCTTGTGCTTCTCTGTAAGGTTGCACTTCCATGACTGTTGCAGCGCTGCAAGGTCGCGCTGCCGCCGCTGTTACAGCGTCTCTTTGACACGGGAGTCCAAACCTTGGAATTGCCAGGCTTCCACGGTGACCGACAGCGAGCCAGCTCGTCTGGCTCCGAGAGGGACCTACAGTGGCGTTTTGTCGGCGGTGCCAAGGGCTGACCCGAGTTTTCATTAAGGTTTAATTCACTTATCCATCCTGACACCATGGATGTGTTGGAAGATTCCTGCTGCCACTGCAGACTACCATTACTGGCAGTGCTGGTGCTGAATGGGCACACTGGGAAAGGGTAAGCTGAATTCCTTGTTGTGTCAGTCTGGATTGGGTAACCCCCATTTAAAGCTTTCCAAGGACTCTCTTCTGAAAACAGAAAAAGATACAGGTGAAAGATGAAAAGGGAAAAAAACTTATTTGTTTTAAACCTAGTTTAATGTAAAACCATCAAAGGCAAGCTTAGAAGGATGAGCCACAAATACCCAGCTCTTAATCAAAGTTTCACACTATAGTCAAGCATTCACTTTATAAAAACTTAGAAAACTCCAAAAACATGAAGACTGAAGTATTTCAGGAGCCAATCCAAGCATTCCAATGTATGCACCTTGTTAATACTTCTCTCTGTGTACTGAATGATTACAGCACCGTGTTTCTCAGAACACAGGGACAGTTTCCTAGTGCATTGCACACACCACAATTAAAACATGTAACAGTGAACAACCTCAGGTACAACCAAAAGGGATTAACAAGTAATGTGAGAACCCATCAGGGAACTTTTATTCTTATTTTTTTAATCCAAGAGCAGGGTAATCTCTTCAAACTGCTGTCCTTTATTTGGTTGTTAAGCTTTTCTATTAAGAACACTTTACTAAAGAATACTTGTGGTGTGAAAAGCTTTAAATTAGAAACAGTATAAAGTTAAATCAGATTGTTGCCTTCCCCTCCACTACACTTTGGACATAAGCAAAATAAAGTAAAAAAAATCTTAATTCAATGCATAAAATTAGTATCTCTTAAGAACCTCCTGCAAGTTTTACTGTGAATGCAGACATAGTGCACAACTTCTCATCTGAAGTGGCAATGCTGGGTTAAAAGCAGTCTGCCAGTGCAGCCTCTCACTCTTTTGTGAAGCGTCTCTTTGAGAACATTCTGCACATTTTACAGCTGTTCCTCCACATTATACAATGAAGTGTAAGAAGAACCACAGCAGACTTTGGATTTGCAAATTGAAAAGCAGCAAAACTGTTGGCCAGCTAACAGTGCTTCATGCTTGGTTAGAAAATTTGCTAATTTAAACCAATTAGCCAAGTAAGTTTCACTTATCCTAGCTTTAAAGAAAGAATATTTAAAATAGCAGGTTTTTCCCATACGCCTATTTTAAGAACCTAGATACAGCCTAAACATTAAATACTAGTACATTCTTATGGTTGACTGTCTAAACTAAGTTTTAGAGTAGTTAACAGATAAAAGATTTGCTGAGTAGCTTTAAAAGTTGCAAGCTCAAATAGTTGTACATGTTCCATGCCCAAAGTATGTCATGGATTATCCCGTTTATTTGGATCTTATTTAAAGAACACCCTATTGTCTCAAAATCATTTAACTGTGCAGACAGCTGGCCTATTCAAACATGTTTTATTAGAATTCCTCTGTCCTTCCTCCTCTATTCTTTCAGATGGGTACAACCACATACTGTGCTTTGCCTTAAGCATGTAAGCTCTTCAAGGCAGGGACCATCCATAATTCAATGCAAGTAAAACAGCCAACACAATGGGATCCAGCTAATGTTTGAAACTCCTAGCATCTACTGTAGGAAAATTTCCTAGCTTGGACTGGTCTGATCTTTAAAAATACTTAGGAAGCTTTCTCCCAGGCCAGGAGGCTGGTTTAAAGTTTACTGTAAAAAAAAAAAAAGTCGAGATGCACCTGTGTTTTAATTGTTTATGTGGTAGAAACACCTAATCATTTAGACTAGAAAAGATCTAAGATCATAGGAAAACCACTAACCTCACACCGCCAAGTCCACCACTAAATCATGTCCCCAAGCACCACACCTACACATCTTTGAAGTACCTCCAGGGATAGTGACTCCATCACTGCCCTGGGCAGCCTGTTCCAATGCTTCAAAACCCTTTTAGCGAAGAAATTTTTCATAATATCCAATCTAAACCCCACTGGTGCAACTTGAGGCCATTTCCTCTTGTCCTCCTTGTCTCCCTTGCTACCTGGGAGAAGAGGCTGACCCCCACTTGGCTACAACCTCCCATCAGGGAGTTGTAGAGACAAATAAGGTCTCCCCTAAGCCTCCTTTTCTCCGGCCCCAGCTCCCTCAGCTGCTCCTCATAGGATTTGTTCTCCAGAGCACAAACTTGTGCCCTCAATCCCCTCATCCAGATAATTGATAAAGATACTAAACAGAACCAGCCACTGTGCCCTCAGAGACACCAGTGGTGACTGGCCACCAGCTGGATGTAATTCCATTCCCCACCACTCTCTGGGCCTGGCCATCCATCCAGTTTTCCACCCAGTGAACAGTGCACCCATCCAAGCCATGAGCAGCCAGTTTCTCCAGAAAAATGCTGTGGGAAACTGTCAAACGCTTTACTAAGGTCCAGGTGGACAACATCGACAGCCCTTCCCTCATCCACTACACAGGTCACCTTGTTATACGAGGAGACCAGGTTGTTCAAACAGGCCCTGCCTTTCATAAAGCCATGGTGGCTGGGCTTGTAGTTCCCCAGATCCTCCTTCAGGCCATTCATGCAGATGGGTGTCATATTTGCCAACCTCCAGTCACCTGGAACCCTTCCAGTGAGTCAGGACTGCTGTTAAGTGATGGAAAGTTGCTCAGTGAGCACTTCCACCAGCTCCCTCAGTACTCCCGGGGGGATCCCACCCAGCCCCATAGATTTATGTGTGTCTCAGTGGTGTAGCACATCAACCATTTCCCCTTGGATTGTGGGGACTTCATTCTGCTCCCCATCCTCTCTTCCAGCTGAGGGAACAGGGTACCCAGAGAGCTGGTCTTACTATTAAAGACTGTAGCAAAGAGGGTATTAAGCATCTCAGCCTTGTCCTCCTCCTTTGTTCCTATATTTCTCCCTGCATCCAGTAAAGGATAGAGACTCTCGTCAGCCTTCCTTTTGTTGCTGATGCATTTATAGAAACAATTTTTAATTGGGCTTTTTGGCAGTAGCCAGATTAAGTTCTTTTTGGATGCTGGCCCTTCTAATTTTCTCCCTGCATAACCTCACAACATCCTTGTAAGTCCTCCTGAGTTGCCTCCCCCTTCCTCCAAATGTCAGCTCTCTTATTTAACTCAAGTTTCAGCCAAAGCTCTGTTCAACCTGACCAGTCTTCTTCCCCACTGGCTCATCTTTCAGCACATGGGGACAGCCTGCTCCTGTACCTTTAGAACTTCCTTCTTAAAGCACATCCAGCCTTCCCGGACTCCTCTGTCCTTCAGGACTGCTTCCCAAAGGACCCTGTCAACCAGCCACCTAAACAGGCCAAAGTCTGCCCTCCAGAACTTCAAGGTAGCAGTTCTCCTGATCCTCTTCCTCACTTCTCCAAGCATCAAACCCCCTAATTGCTATGTCCAAGGCAGCCTCTGAGCACATCACCCACCAGTCCTTCTCTGTTCACAAACAGCACGTGCAGCAGGGCACCTCCCCTGGCTGGCTCACTCACCAGCTGTGTCAGGAAGTTCTCTTCCACACACCCCCGGAACCTCCTAGACTGTTTCCTCTCTGCTGTATTGTATTCCCAGCAGACATCTGGTAAGTTGAAGTCCCCCATGACAGCAAGAGCTAGTGATTGTGAGACTTCTCCCAGCTGCTTGGAGAGTATTTTGTCCGCCTCTTCATCCTGGTTGGGTGGTCTGTAACAGGCTCCCACCAGGATACCTGCCTAGTTGGCAATGCTATTTAAGACAAAACACCATTTGCCTTTGAAACTCCACACGAACCAAGATTCACATTTTATGGGGAGTCCCACTGAGCAAATAAAAATCCTCCATGCTTAAGGAAAACAGGATATGCAAAATTTCAAGTCCATCTCTTAAAGCAGTATCAACTTTACATATCAATAAGTAAAATTTTTGGTTTTGCTAGATAAAACTTACTCTTATTCTAATAGGACCCAGGGGGAATAAAAGGAAATGACACTTGTATAAGGGCACTGGGCTTCAACTTGTATTTTGCATCATGCTGGATATTCTATGTGGCAAAGACTGTAAGAAGGTACATAAAGACTTTTACTAGCTGAGGAACCCGAAGAGATGTTTAACATGAAACACAGCATTACTGTGCTTCTGTACACCAGAGCAGATATTGAACAAAAAAGAAGTGTTACAAGGGCTTTTTACTATGCAAAGCAGATCACAAGTACAAAACTAACAACCAGCTATTCCCAGTATTGTTCAAAGACCAGCTTAAACCAGCAGGCTCTACAGCAGCATGCTCCATCCCCCTCACCTGATTTACAAAAGAAAGGCTGCTTGCTATACCAATTACCTCAGTAAAACACAGCTAAGGTTTCTGAAGAACTTACCATTGATTTCGAAAGGGAACAAGCTGCCACTTTTGTTCAGCTTCTCAGATGAGTACTGAAATCAGAGAAAAAAAAGTTTTAAATGTGGAAAGAGTCAGCATTCATTTCAAGGAAACTGCATGTAGTTTTCAGTTTCTCTATATGTGCACTTAATGCCTTTAAAAGAATGGGGGTTTGCAGCATATCTTGAAGAAATTCCCAAACAGCTGATCTTTATAAATAAAGCCTCTGGTATGTAATTATTTGTAATGTTTTCTGATATATTGCTAAGTATCAAACTGTTTCAAGAGTTGCAACATTAGCTCATGTGAATAAACTGGAAAATTAAGAGCGATAATTCATCCTTAATGAAAAAGCTTTGATCCAATTCTCATTTCAGTGGAGAGGAAATTACAATCTGGCAGTTGGGTTTCCATTTTCAATCTTAAGGCTAGAAGGCAAAAAACACTTCATCTTCAACTAAGAGACAGGAATAGCTTAATTTAAATTAAATATACAAGCTCTTGAGGTTCACCACCATGAACACTGTTCCAATCAGGTTTTGCTAGTATTTTACATTTTTTTATAATCAATGTAGCAAAGTGTTCTCTTATTTCTTCGAGGTAGTAAAGCCATTGGAAAAAAATCTTTCCTATCCTCAAAAACATTTCTTTGCACAGTAAGACAAATTAAGTTTGTATGCAGAATGTTTTCCATTTTCTTCACTAATTCTACCTAGAAAATATTGCTACAAAGGCATTCTTAATGGTCTAGATTTCTCAGACAAAGCATAGAGCTTGCCAGCCAGCCTCCTATAAAGGAGCTATAAATAAATGGCTCATGGCTCCACCAGCCCAAGGGTCATTATTCACTCCCCCACCACCACCTCAGGATGGAGAGGAAGATTGCTCTAAAAAAGAGCAACACGCTTTATGTGAACATTGTTCCTTGTGTATAGCCAAAGAAGATAGCATTGTACATACACTTCCTTTCCAGATACAAAGTCAATTTTTAAACAAACATCCTTGGGCTACAAAGCTTTTTTTTTTTTTTATTTTGCTGTACAGCAGCACTCAGTGCTAGTGACAACTTTATATCCTTGAGCCCCACACAAGAGAAACGCTAAGCTGTGGTAATATTCCCTTGGTGTTATTGTTTTAGAGGTAGGAAACAATGGGGAACAGATGAAAGGACAGGGCAGCAATCAGATCTTTATTCTGATTTTTTATCAGTGTCTGCATATGAGACAAGCCATTTCATTTTTACTTGACATTTGCCTCTGTAGATGCATTTATAACTTTTTGTTAAAGAAGCTACTTTAAGTAAACAGTAGAACCCCAAGTTTGAACGTCCATTGGATTTGCTGATAATTAGACCTATTCAAACCATTTGGAGTCTGCAACCTGTCAGTTATATGGTATCCACATTTAAAAAAAAAAAAATCAGTATCAATTGTTTACTCTAATCAGCTACCAAGGTTTCACACAGAACACAGGAGTAACAGCAGTAGTAACATTTCAGCTGTCCCTAAAGGGGAAGCACACAAATTAAGTGACTTTATGTTTTTCAGCCAATTCCTCCCCTTCAGCTTTCCCCAAACGGAAGGCAATACCAACCTATTCAACTACCAGATGGTAGCTAAGGAAAAGATGTTTTTGGAACAAAATTCTGTGTCAAAAAGTTTTATAGCTGATTTATCTTGAACCACGTGGAAAATGGCAGTAAGATGACTTAACATTAGCATAATAATTAGGGATGTTTAAGAGATTATTTATGTACACGGGTCAAGATACTCAATGCTCAGAAAGAACAGAACCTCAAGGACAATCCTGGGTGGCAACTATTAGATTGATATTTAGTTTTCACAAGTAGTTTTCAGTCAAATGCATCTTTAACAAGGTTCTCTTCACCAATGTCCAAGTTGTTTGACTCCCTGCACTTTAACCACCTTAAAAAGTCTTGTCCATCAGTTTAGAGACTAAACTGCTGTATCTTTGACAGCTGCGAAGCACTGAAAGCATTTTTCGAGGGGAACATGGAAAAAGTGGGATCACACACAGAGACTATCTGTACTCCAGAGAACTGCAATGTTCTCTAACACAGACAGCAACCACACCCTTAGAGCTATTTCTGATCAGCTTTTACTGAAGTCAGTGCTCAGGTCTATGACAGACCAGATGCATTTCCTCTGCAACTTGTCTCGTAAGTGATCACTTACACAGAATCTTGCTAAGTTACCAAAAAGCTCTTTGCTGGAGATTCAGACCAAAAACCTTAAGAATGTCACATGTGACATCACATGCTGAAAAAGGAAAACAAGATGCACCATTTCCAGTAAAAGCTCAAGGCACTGAAATAAGGGGTGAGTGACTAAGGGCATAATAAGTAACAAACCTACTTTACAATATATACTTGGCTTTCTATAACTGAAACTAAAATACTTGGAAACACTGTCTGCTGGTGTATTTTAATGATGTCTGGAAGTCCAAACTTGAGTAGACTATCAGGCTGTAAATTCTTTATGGGAGGGAGGATCTTTTTATCTATACAGCACATGGCACAAGTCCCACTAGATATTACTGTAACAGGGCACTGAACCAGTTTATCAGCTCTCCTGGGCTGGCCACGCTCTACCCTCCCCCATTCATTCCCTCTGTGTTATGATCTACCTGAAACTTCCTCAATGAAGGGCTTTTTTTTATGACTATGATTGAAAAGAGACCGCAGTTGCTGAGAACCTTGACAGGGAAGTCTGTTGCCCTCTTTGTGAAGGAAATCTTCCTTAGAATAAGGCCAAATTATTCAAGAAGGTCAGCTTCCTGAAGAGGAAACACATTCATCTTCCAACTACTGCTTTTTGAATAGATATTAAAACACCCACCAAGATCTCCTGCCTCTTGAGAATTTCCTAGGGCAAAAAAGGCAGATTTTAAGATAGACACACAAAACAATAAAACTACAATTTTCACCTCAGGTTGGACTTATTCGCCTCATGATAAAAAGTGCATCTATTTTGAAATGCTTGTTCACAAATAGAACCTTTTTTGTGCAGATGGAGAGACTATGCTCAAAAGGAAAGGAAATGTGTGGTATAACATTTAGGACAGTGCTGCAAGTTTCAGTTGGTTTACTGAGTCTTAGCAGCTGTTCTTTCGCTAAAATATTCACTCCAAAAGACACCTAGTCTGAACTGAGTAAGTGGTAGAGCCACGCAAGTGAGGCTGACAACGAATTATAATTTCCATCACTAATTTAAAAAGTGTTCTTTGCTCGCAGAAGCCAACTGCAACAAAAATAATTCTGGCTATTCTTCTACACTCCAATCTATCTACTACATTAACAACTTCACAGCCTGTGCTATCCTCCTCATTATTCTCAGAATGACGACTTCATAATTTTAAAATTAATGGCTTTAATTTCAAGACAGTTTTTTCAAGTTTACAAGTGTATCTGAGTTATTCCAATTTATCAGCACTCTTTCCAAACCACAGGAAAGTCAGTGTTTATCACTCAAGTACTAATTTAACCACCACCACACAGATGGGACTTGGTTTAAATAGGCCATGCCAGACCTCCATCTCTCTACCAAATATCCTTCAAAGACAACTACCTAGGGAGGAGTGAGGAGGAGCATTTGACCCTTTCTCAGGACATGAAGAAGTGATTAAGTCAAGTCTTTGGGCCAGTGGCTTTCCATCCAAGGAAGTCAGCCCAATTCTAAGTCTTTCAACACAAGTAAGATTCAAAAATTAAAAACGATAACCCGCATGTACTAAGGGCTTTTACAGTAGAAACTCTTCCTTTCACAAATGCTTGTCTGGAGATCTTCACATTTCCTTCTTAATACCACACCCTGAAGTGTTACAGCTCACATGCTGTTACTTCACAAACCAACTCAAATACCAAAAGGTACAAGTTTAGTCAGAATGTACAGAAAAATCCTCAAGACTTTTGATTTAAGAGATCTGTGTTCAGGGGAATAGAAACCAATTATTTGATTTAATCCTGCTGTCAACCCACGAAAGCCACAATGTGCTTGCAGAACTTCTCACTGTTGCAAGGTAGAGTTGAGCAACCAGGGACGTGACTTTACTTTGTGAGCTACAGTACTCACTTGAGATAAAAGCTTGGGACAGCCTTCCTCCTTCTACAGCAGGACACTCAATCATTTGGGTTTTTTTCTGAAGGCAGGTGCAGGACAAGGCTATACAACATAACTGAGCATGAACTGGCTAAATTACATGAGTTATACCACCTTGGAAAATTAGCATGTCATTTAACAGAGCAGTAAAAAGCTACAGCCAGTATTTTACAACATAAAAGAAAGGTACTTTGTCATCATAGAGCTTACACAAATGAAAAAAGTGTACTATGGCCTATACATGTTGTCTTTATGCCCAGCTTGGCTGGATAGCAAACAGCTTTGAAAGCACTATTCTTTTTTCCTTTTATAACCCTCATTCATGAGCTGTATTACAGAATAGCTTTTCCCCAGCTATTTTATCTCCCTGTGCCAAGACGGCAACTTGTGCAGATGCACTGCAAAAGGTATCAGGAAACTGATAAGGGTTAACAACATTAACCCAGGCAAGAAAAGTTAGTCTTAATCCTCGACCAGCTCACAATGTTTGTTCACCACATGATGCCACAAAACTTTGTGCCAGCACGAGGAACAGAAGGTGCAGCAAGATCATTTCAGAATTGCTCTGAATTGCTGCTGTTATTAGAAGAAACTACAGCATTGACCTGAACTTCTTGCCAAAAAGACTAAATATGCTAGCACTGACACTAGACCCCCACTAGTAGTCATTTTCTGTTACTAAAATGTAGCAATTGTCTTTACCAGTGATACTTTTTACCCTCTTGGGTTTGCATTTTAGTCAGGAAGCCATCATTTGCTCCCAGGAATTCTTTTCGGTTGGGAGCAACCTAGTTGCACACTTTAATTCACAGTTGCTTCGCTATTCCCACACCTCACTACGCAATTTCCACACTTTTTCAGGGTGTCACTGTGTACAAACAGAACCTGTTCCTGGCCCCAGAACCCATTTTCTCTAAGAACTAAAGCACTTACAAAACCAATTACTTGACAGATAAAAGGAGGAGAGGAGCAGGAGAAGGGTGAGGAGGAAACAACTGATGAGACATCATGTGCCATTTTCCGCTCCACTTGTTCTTTTTTCATGCTTTATTGTAAGTACAGATAAGGACAGGAATAAAACACAACCAACCTACAACAGAACATACTCCTGGTACAGACTCCACACAGTGCAAAAGCAGTAATACATCCTTCTCTACTCTTAGAGGTCTCTGGTCCAAAACCTACAGTGACTATCAGCAAAAAGACAGTTCAGTTTCCAAATTTATGCAAACTTTAAGACCTCAAAAATTAGAAATTACAGGATGCCACTAGATGTTTAGTTACAAACACTGCTACTGGTTACAAGTCATCATTGGCTCACACTTAGGCCCTCAGTTTAATTACAAATGATGACTTTGCCAGTTCACAGATACAGCAGATCCTCCTACAAATCCCAAGTGCTTCATCAAACTAGACAAAATAACTGCCAGTTGAGCGAGTAAGCACTTCTGAGAGGTAACATCCTTCCAAGACCTTAAATCTGCCTTTCAAGAATAGCACATATTTAAGACGAAGAAAAAATTAAAAGCAATTATTAGAGGAACTCTGAATGGACCTGCTGCAGTTTTGAAAATAAAACCACTTGACTGAGGTCTACTATTAGATATCCCTACTGGACAAAGTATTGGATACATGAGAATTGCAGGTGTTTGTGCACAAACTCCACCTCATTCAAGATATGCTTCCCCTGCTTTGTGCTCATGAAATAAGGAAGAAGTTCACTTGTTTAAATACAAGTTACAACAGAGGCAGAATCTTACTGTAAAAGTAACTGACATGCTTCAGGTCCGATGTCTGCATTATTATTTTAAAAAGTAACAGAACTAGAGTTGAACAATACTTTGACTTTTAGTCAAATTATTTTTTTTTGTGCCCCATTGGAACCTTTAAGTTTGACCTAGAGAAGGGTGCCACTGCAATTGAAGTCAGTAAAACAAAGCTATTCTGCATTACATATAGAATATGGTCTCAGGGTTCTCAGGCAGCCACCTAAAATTGATGAGAGACTGTTCTGCATTGCAGACTCAGGAGTAGGTAGTATTTTACTCACAAGGGAATAGATTCCTCAGTGTCTGAATAACATGCTTGAACCACATCACGGGTCCAGAGATTGAACCAGCAGAAAATAACACTATAAACATTACAGAATGTTTCAGAGCACCAGGCCTCTGAGACACTGATAAAGCACTGATCTGCTCTACTAGCATCAAAGAACAGTCTGACAGTGGCCTGACTTTTAATTGAACTGTTTTTATTTGATGACCTGTTCTCCTTTTTCCCAGTGCTGATAGTTAACTATGTGGCAGTCAGGGATTTTTGTAAATACTGTTGTCAGATACAAAGATATCAAGCACTTGGTTATATGAAGTGAAGAAAACTTCAACCCATACAAGTACTTGGTCTTTTGTAAAAAAGAAATCCTAAGATCTGATAATTCTTTTCAGTCATTAGAACACTATTTCATTAAGAGAACCGTCTTTTCACTATTTGAATTGAAGCAGTAAGGTTAAAAAGGTCATTAAAATAAGAAAGCATCACTTCAAGAAGGGACCATACACTTAAATTTTACTTTTCCCCCCTGCTTACAACTCTCACCCCACTTTGCAAACCAGCCCTAACTTAAATAGCTGAATTCTGGCTGATCTACATTCTTGAATTCATTTTGTAGTTCTGAGTGACATGTTTTTTTTAGTAGATCCTTACCAGATTAATATTGTATGTTTTACAGGTCAGATCATCCAAGCTCTGGTTCTGCAGCTTTTCAGTTATTAGTGTTACCATGGTAGTTGTTCCTTTTCCACTGCTCACACAGAAGTGTTGGAGGCTCTTCAGTCTCTTCTTTCAATACTCATGAGCCATTTCTGTTTTGGTCTAAAGTCTTGAGATTTATGCTTCCATCTTACTGCCAAAGTTTATTTCCAAATGCTGTCAGTGTATCATGTCTGATTTCCTGTAAAATTGGAGTAGAAAAAGGAAAAAGTCAGAAAAATTCCTGTGTACGTTGTAGTTAATATTGCAATACCACAACTCTTATTTGGACCATGCCTTCATGTAAATATATCCCTCTGTGACCAGTGCCAACACCTGGCAACTCAGATTACATGTCTCCACTCATGAAAGAATACTCCTATTGAGGTTTCAATGATTACAACTTCAGAAAGGAGATGAGATTCATACATAGTAAAGATCAGGGTATTATTTTGCTGTTTCCTACTATTAAACTGATTCTACCCAGGATTTTGATCCAAGGCAGAAGGAAGACTTCAGCTTTCCCTCATTTTAACTAGCCAGGTATTCTGGAACAGCATATGAAACACACACATACCCACCACGCTGTTCTACACGTTTAACCATTTCAAGACATTCTACCACATTGTTTCATCACTCCTTAAAAAGTAAAGTAGAGCAGTGGGTAGCTCCAACACAATAACTACTTCCCAAACCCTCAGTTATTTTTAATGTATTCCTCTCTGATTTTTCTTTTCTTTTTTTTTTTAAGGTTACATAATTGTTACCTGTCAGCAAACACCAGATCTTACACTGATAAGCAGGACAGATTCCCATGCACATAAAAGTATCACAGACAACGACTTAGATATCTTTATTCTGTGAGCAGTCATCTAAATCAAAAGCATTTGGTTCACCAGCTGCCTCTTTTTATCCTAAACATCCCCCACATATTTTCTTCCCCTCTCTCTAGTGAACTGCATTAACCATTCTTGCTTATGATTTAATTTGGTCAGGCATATTAAGTGACCACTTACGGAATAAAAAGAGGGAAGAGATCCACGCAGAGGTATTTCCAAATTTAAACAAAGCAACATGAGGCTTGGGGAAGGAACACTGATGCTGCTAGGACCTTAAATTTTACTTCCATTTGCTAGTTTTTAATGTCTACAGTAAAAAACAATAGCAGAAAATAATAATTTTCAATTAATGTTTCCGTAAAATATTGCCTCTTCCACACTGCTACTTCCCAGCTATTTAAATAACCAGTAGTAGCAAGGAAAAAAGCCACTTCAGGGCATGAGCCAAGTTAAACCCATTCAAAACTAAGATATTAATAGTATTAATGGTGATGTTAGATTATCTTTTAAACCTGTTTCCTCTGAGTACATCCTTAAATATGATTTTCATATGCTAACCATACACTATTTCACCTTCACAGCAGTCTACCACATACTGTCCCCCCTTAGCCTGAAAGCTGCCCCACAAACACAACTTCTGCCCATCTTTTGGCCTCATTCTGGTATCTATTTTTTTGTGTGTGCTGTAAGATAGGATGCTTAGAAGTGCTTTTTCACCACAAATGATGCCACCCAGGTAGCTGAAACTTCAACTGGTCTGTTTTTACTGGATGTGTTTTGTCTTTCAGGGAAGCACACAACTTGAAATATTTACCACATATTCTGAAATTACATCAAGTCAAATATTAAAAACCATCAAAGTTGCATATACACTGTTCCATATGAGCATCTGTCAAAGCCAAGTGTGGTTCATGAAGTGCTAAGCAAGTTTAAGGGCAAGCATGGGAACACAGCAGTATCTAGAGCAGCACAATCTAACACTGCTGTGTCCCTTTTACACCTGGTGAAGCTTAAACTATATCTAGAAATCCAGAATAGAAGTAAAAATAAAGGCTGAGTGGGGGTTAGAAATTGTCCCTTTACAGACTGAAAACATACTGAAGCTGAAGACCTTAGTAACTGGCACCAAGACTTTCAGTTCCATGTTAAGGATGAGTATTTCCACAAGTAAGAGGCTACTAATAAGAGCAAGATGAGCAGAATGTTTAAATTACTTCTCTTTGGATGGGCCATAGAAGAATTTGTGTGAGAGGTTTTTTCCCCTCAAGAAAAAAAACAAATTAAATAAAACTACCGCAGGTGGGAGAAAAAGGTTTTGATCTGTAATCAGTTAACTATAATGTTACGTTAATATTTTGCTTAGTACTTCTAACATTCAAATATTTCCCTGAAATTTTAAGTCAGCTTAATACAAGGTACAATAAGGAGAGACTAGACAGAATGATATTAGATTTTAGTTAAGGAACCAATTGAATGAAAGGATAAAGGGAAACCAAATGAGATCACTGAAGCGTGGCACTTTCAGAATCATGCTGAATTGTACAGTTACCCACGTTTGTAAATCCTACCACCTACTGAAAGTTAATACTTGGGAGCTGCAGCCACTCAGGCCCTTTCTGACATCATGAAACCCAGTAAGTTCTGAAACACAATCAGTGTGGAAATTCCCCCCAAAAAAAGTTTCATTTTAGCAGCTCACGCTTACCAGCAATACTTTTTCAAATGGAGACATGCTCCATTGAGAAAGATATTTTTTTAAGCTCACAGGGGTGAAAAGGTGCTGTCAGCCAGACAAGCCTTCATCTACCTGCTCCCACTTTCCACTGCTCTCCTCATGAGTAAATTCCATTTCTCAGTAGGAATCACAACACTAAGAGTGAGTAGGGCTTTTAGCTCAGATCAGAAGCTGGCTTTGCAAGAGAATTCCTTCCTCATCTTCCTCGAATGTGCTTGTTCAGTACATTGGTATCAACTGTTTTACACTACAGATCTGTTCCTACTGGGCAGCCCTTGTTAATGATGACACAATGAATGTTTAAAGGGACAAAATGTCACCAACATGCTCCTACCAACAAAAGCCATTCTAGGCTGCAGTCTGATACACCTCAGCTGCCACCACAACTGCCAACACATTTTCTTCCCTGGCTATTTGTGGCCCACAGCAGTGTGCCAGCACAAGTGTTTCTGCTCATCACAGAGAACTAGATCAAGGAATTTTTATAGCTGGATAAAACCAAAGCACTTCCTTTTGTTTCTGGGAAAGGTTGCTTTCCAGCTGGATCAGTTCCCCAGTCTGGTTTGCCATGAACTGGACACAAATGCTTGTGTGGGCACATTGTGGGATGCTGACACTGCTTGTCCAAGTACCTGTCCAACTACAGCATCAGAAAAAAAAAAGAAATAAGCCGCACAAGAAAGCCAGTTGACATCAGCATTTCCTACACTGAGCCAGGCAGATTCTCCTATAATTAGGAATTAGACATCTCCTCCTGAAGCATGGTTTGAACATGTTTTGCTCCCATTTTCCTTTTACAATTCATATTCCTTTGACTAGTCAAACTTAACAGCTCAAAGTGATCCAAAATCACCTCTGCAGCCTCAGCACCTCAACTCAGTGACCAACATCCCGGTTCACTCTAGTTGAAATATTTGTACTCCACCAGGAATTGCTTCCCTCATCTTTGTTAATTAATACTGGCTGCCAGGAGACAAGAGATGCTTAAGAGTTGTTAAGCATTCTTAGCTTCACTCAGCTGTTATAATTTTAAAACTTTATTAATATGTATTTTCAAGCACTTTGTCCCTTATAACCTCCTAGAAGGAAGCTCCTCATTGTATTTTCATCTTTTGGGGATTTTTGTTTATTTCAAGATCCTCTACTGTGCTATGTATTTAATGTACCCAGAGAGAGAGCAAACTGTTTGCTTTATGTACTTTTTCCACCATACTGTTTTTCCAGAGCTGATTAAAGGCAACCAACTTTGTTTTTCAGTCTCTCCTTATCATGCACTTTATGCTTATCAGGCTGAAACTGCTCAAACTGCTCAGCACTTCAAACTAATTGGATTTTCAGTAACACCAACCATTTGACCATCCCTGTCAGGGCACCATGGATCCTGCTGAATTATCATTTGTTTCAGCTGGCTCATGGCACAGACCTCGTGCTCCAACATCCAGGTGCTGCTGGAGTGCTCGTGCTCCAGTTCTGCCTTACTGTCCATGCAACCTGTAGGCACACACCTCTGTGTCACCAAGTCTCTGCAGGCAGCAGCAGAGCCAGGCATGCAAGTTCAAACACTGATATCCTCCAAGCTTGAGGTAACAACAATAGCCCTTGGAGCTCCAAGTTGGATGAAGTCCTACAAGATTATGGCCATCTTTCCCTTAACACTATTGCCTTAGGTAGAACAGTGAGAAAGCTGAGACCTCCAAGATAAACATACACAACAGAAGATGTTAGTCAGTCTCTGTCCTGGGAGAGACTTAATCTTCCTAGGATCTTCTTAAGCTGGGGGGCAGAGGTGAGGCAGGGGGAAGAAGCTATTTTTATTGTTGAAAGGTAGACTAATGAAATGGAATAAATGGAATACAAAAATCAAACTAAATGCAAGCCAAAGCTAACATTCCTCACAGTTGGAGAATGAGCTGTGATAGAATCAGTATCACCATTGTCTCTGATTTAAAAGTTCTGTTCTATTCATTCTGAAGGCTGAGAAAAGTAAAGATTCGTTATTCTATCTCTGTAGTACTATTAAAGAAGAGAGGTTTTATTTCTTTAAAAGTTTAGCCACAAGTAGTAATGACTTGTAAAATCTCTGCCAAAATTAACAGTGGAGATAGAAAAGAAGTGCTCATGTCACGAATTCTGTATCTTCTCAGTGACATCACTGGTGTCTTTTTTGGGAAGACTACTAAAAATATGGATTACCCAACCTCCCAGTCAATTAAAGGATGTCAGAGGCTCATTCAATTTGACAACCTACTTTCAAAGAGATGAAGAGTCCTGATGAAGAACACAAAAGCCAATACAAAAATCTCTTCTTGGCTCTAAGAAAGTAAGGCAGCCAGACTCATTTCCAACCCACTCCTCCTCCTCCTTGCATCCTGCAGGACAAAATGTTCCAGCAACAGCTCATCTCGATGGGAAAATTTACATTTGTTTGAAATGCTTCTAACAATTTCTTCTCTGTTTCTGGAAGTTCCATCTTGGATAAAGAAGAGATCACAAGATTTTCAGATGATTTCCCCATAACACAAATGTAGGTGTTTCTTGACGATCGCAACCCCATCTTTTTCTGCCTATGGTACTAAAATTACCTGTGAGAACACAGAAGGTTGTTCCCTCTTTTCTGTTACTTCACACTATCTCCTATCTTTGCTCTGAGCGCTACATGGAACCCTTATTACCAACAACCCCATACAGACACACTTAGCCTGCTCCCAGCAGAAGAAAAGGATTAACTAGAGTCAAAATTCCAATTCGGATAAGTAGGCCCTTTAAAATATTATCTCTGCTTCAGCAAGCCAAAGTAGCTAATCACTCCAGCAGTACTAACTCCAGATCTAGATGATTTTGCTACTAGACTCTAGATGAAAGACAATGTGATTTTTTGCCTCCTGGCACTTTCTGCAGCATCCAAGGAGCATTTCAAAATTGAAACATCACACAAAACTGATCAAGATTTAACAGAGCATTGTCTGTCCCATCCCAGTTATGCTTGAAGCAACACAAAGTTGGAAGACCAGCTTTACAGAAACTGCCAAGCTAATGCCTTATGCCATCTGAAAAAAAGCTACAGAATGTCTAGTTTCTTGCAATGCAAAATTCCAGCTTCCAAAAGGAAAGAGAACATTCTACTTCTAAAAATACATATTTACTACAGTGCTAAGAAGTTCACAGGGAGGCTAAGCATTCCTTACAACATAAGTCTATTATTAACTTTTAGCCCAGAAAGGTTCTCGATAGCAGGCATTTAAAGAGAATTATTTGGACTCTATCCTTTTCAGCACTAATTTGCAGTGTGGCTATTCTGCAAACCTTCCCAAATTCCACATCGTTTAAAAAAAAAAAAAAAGTTTTAATTGCAAAGTTTCCTGCAGTTATAAAATTATGCATCAGTGTTTTGGGAGATAGGTATTAGAGGGGGACACTTCAGCTTCCAGCATGTTATACTTCAGAGATCCTCTCTATTGCAATTAACTAGCGCCCCTTTATTTTCTGAGGTTCCCTATAAAAAGTTTCAAAACAGTGTATTAGAATAACAGTTTCTGGCCAAGAGGGACAAA